CATGAGTTTCTGACTGCCGCTAGCTGAAGCTTGGTTGCTAGGTTACTAGCTGGGTGTTCTCCGATAAGGGGCCGGGGGAAACAAAGTTAGTGATTGCTGGTTCCATGTTGATTTATTTCAAATTGTCGGGGGGAACTGAAAGGCTCTTACCGTACTGGTTACTTTGCAGCCCGGACATTTCCCCCAAAACACATTTTAGACGCGATCGCAACACAGAAGTACCTTTCAAATCCGATCATTTTTAAGACCTTCTAAATCATATTTAAGACCTTTCTTATTTTTCTGGTCATATTTAAGACCTTTTTAAGGCCTTAAATTCAGATTATCAAATGTAAGACTTTTTAAGACCCCGCGGGAACCCTGCAGCTTGAACTGGACTGATCAGTAACACCGTCTCCGTACATGTAGAGATTATATTCTTTTCATTACTTGTGTTGCGTTTTCTTGATCTGTTTGATTTTTACTTGTCTCATATCTAGTAGGTTAAACACTTCTGATGTTTTTAATGAAGATATGCTTTAATAAAATGTTTGTTTGTCTATAATTACGTTAATTTGCGGCGTTGTTTTATGCTAGAAATGGTAGGGCAACAACTCTTTTACAGATGCAAAACCAGAAACTGAACTCATTTTTGACATAACACCTATATCACATTTCCCACACAGGTAGACACAGGTGAGAGTCAGACTGAGCAAATACCTGTTCTTGCTGTCTTGCTCTTCTCAGGTTTGGTAATCTTCTCAAAGGTACGCTTGAGATCCTGAGGGCCTGTTGTTCACCAGGTACCACCCAATACGAGTAACACACATGGGATGCAAAACAAGATTTTTCTCTGACATAATATGGAAAAGCATACTTTTAAAAATCCCTGGTGTCTAAAAAGTCAAATCATATTATCGACAAACATAGAAATTAATTATCAAAATGAAAATGTTTTAATTTAAATGTAGCACACAGTTACTCTCGTCTTGGTTACTCTCGTCACTGCTATGTTCTTAGTCTAGTACTGGCATAGCAGCATCACATTGTGTTTGGCATATCCTTGCCCGCATCTTGACGGTAAACTGAATTAATAATACAGGAAAAAGCATCCTTGATCCACGTTACCTCCTTGTTAAACTCTTCGAAATCCGGAACCTTTTTTTCGCCGCAACGCATCCGGAACAAATGTGAAGACGGACCACTTCCGGTCCGACTGTCAACACAGGAGCATCCACACGTGTTTTCAAACAGATACAATGGTAAGACTGGTTTGTAATTGCTGTAATTGTAATATGAACTCTTGTAGTAATTCAAATCGGCAGCTAACAAGTTATTTCTTGTTGTGTTTCAGCCGAAGCCTAATAAAGGAAATGGAAAGGCTCCGGAGAAGGTTTGTCACCCGTACAGCCGGAAAGCTGCTTACCTGGCCGCAGAAGAAATCAGACTGAAAAAGAAGAATAGGTGAGAGCATACAAAGGACATATTTACAGCTGCAGCTCATTAAACAGAGGTGGGAGACGTACTCAGATATTGTACTTGAGTAAAAGTAGAAGAACTTAGAAAGAAGAAGATAGTAGGAATACTCTGTTACAAGTAAAAGTCCTGCAATCAACATTTACGCAAAAATGTCCCAAATTCGGATCAATAAAGTACCTCTAATATTTATCTTATGTTTCTCAAGTAAAAGTACTCATTATGCAGATTGGCCCATTTTTGAAGAATATATATGATGTGTTTTGATTATAATGATCGATGCATTAATGTGTTCTCAAAGCTAGTAAAGGTGCAACTGATGGTATTTACTGTGTATACTGCAGTGAATTCACTAAAGGTGTAACTAAAGTGTTGATTAATATTTCAAATCATTAATCAAAATACGTAAAGTAGCTAAATATATAAAATAAATGTAGTGGAGTACAAGTGCACGATTTTCTACCTAGTAGAGTAGAAGTACAAAGTAGCAGAACATTGAAATACTCGGGTAAAGTACCTCAAAATTGTTTGTTAAGTACAGTACTTGAGTAAATGTAATTTACACCACTGTCATTAACTTGTATTTGAACACTCATGACTTATGGTGCTGTTAATACTACCTAAAGATTGCTGATATATGCCAAGAGGGTTTCCCACAGAATTTGATTCTATTTGTGGGGGCACCGCGGATTTTAATCACTGTTTATACTGTTGGTTGTTTGAACAATTAATCTCCACTACATCAGTAAGCTAGAGATTCATTAAGTATAGGAAACCATTACAAATATGTGAACTTACACACGGCATCTATTGCACGTCTGTCCGTCCTGGGAGAGGGATCCCTCCTCTGTTGCTCTCCCTGAGGTTTCTCCCATTTTTCCCTTTAAAATGTGGATTTTCTCTGGAAGTGTTTCCTTGTACGATGTGAGGGTCTAAGGACAGAGGGTGTCGTATTGTCATACTGATATTCTGTACAAACTGTGAAGTCCACGGAGACAAATGTCACATTTGTGATATTGGGCTATATAAATAAACATTGATTGATTGATTGATTGAACTGTAGTGGAGTGAAAGGTAACATTTAAATGAAGGTACTCAATTCTACTTGGTAAACTTCCATCACCGATAACCATGACTTGTTTTTAACTTATTTCTTTTCATTATCAAATCTATTAAAAAAACACTAATACTTTTGAGCATTATTGTGAAATCCTCTCATACCTCGACCTACATCCAAGTATCAAAACAATGTTAATTCTTAATCAATCTTAATGTTATATTGTTTTTCTTCTGATTCTGCAGATCGAATAAAGACAAAGCAACACGTCTGAGCGGCATAGGTATGCATGTGAATCATTCATATAATGTCAAATGTATTATGAATGTATTTTACCGTAATTTTCGGACTATAAGGCGCACCTGAATATAAGCCGCAGCAGCTAAATTGAATGTGTACATATATAAGCCGCACTGGACTATAAGCCGCAGGTGTTTTAATGTTTAATTACCATATGTAAGGGTTCGTGCACAGAGGGGATTGTCGGGAAAGAGATGGCTGTTTGAGGAAGCTCCCATTTATTAACATTTCAACAAACCAGTTGCATATTTGCATAACGTATTCAAGTGTTACCATTTAGTGCAATAGTAGCTACAGAACATGTACTGTACTGTGTAAACTGTACTGTATCACATAGCGTTTCAGACAGACAAACTTTTCAACTTTCAAACTTAAACGGTGCGCTCCCAGCGCACGTACCGGCAGTGATCTACAGCAGTGGTTTTCAACCAGTGGTACGGTTGAAAACCACTGCTGTAGATCACTGCCGGTACGTGCGCTGGGAGCGCACCGTTTAAGTTTGAAAGTTGAAAAGTTTGTCTGTCTGAAACNAATATGTTGTCACTGTCACAACCTAGCAAAGCTAAATAATTGTTTTTTTCGATTATGTTGTTTTTGTAATTGTGGCAGGCCAAAATCGTAGTTGCGATTAAAATACGATGAATTGCACAGCCCGAACACACACACAAGCACACAGAGACACACATTTGTATTGTTCTTATGTTGAACATGAATACATTTACTTTGTAAGTAATTATGGGATGTATTTCTTCTTTCATAGCAATTTTCCTTCATACTTTCTTGCCGTGAAATAGGTCTTAAATTCTATTCAAAGTGGTCTTAAAAAGGTCTTAAAAAGTCTTAAATTTGAGTTGGGCGAAACCTGCAGGAACCCTGAAGCTGCCTCAGAGAGACCAGTTGAGACCAGTCAGGCTTCAGGCTCTGTGCGGTTGTTAGTGGGATCAGATACGAGGAGAGGAACAAGCCCTGGTGTGCTTTTAACGTTATCTTCTTAAAATCAAGAACAACTTGTCACTTTAAAGATTCTGTTGATAGTATTTGTGTATTACTCTTTCTGAAATTATTATTTGAGGATGCATCATGTGCATTTCAACTTGTTATCAGCTACTTATTTCATAATATGCTAAAAACTCAAAGCAAAGAACATTCTCATTTTAGTTTGGAAGAACTTGAATGCCCTAAGAGCCCAGACCGTCACCCTTGATCAGACAGGATAAATTAAATTATTTTTGCGTAACATCAGGGCCCGAGCTCCCTCATGCTCTTGATGGTCTAAACTCTAAATGCTCTGAAAGGAAGGAAAATCCCTGCAGATGTTTGTCCAGATGTCAATGTACTTTTGGCAATAACACATCAGTGTCCACACCGTCCTTTTGTGCAACAGGATGTTTCATGAGCATCTGTGGTGAGCTCAGATTTCTTAAACTTCTCAACTATAACAAAACAAGAAGAAGGAACCCTATAAGCAGTACCTGATATTTTCCGTGGTATCAAACAAAATGTAACCCTCTCAGTTTTCTAGGTTTTTTGTCTTAATGAAAGAAGTACCCAAAACTTGTACTAAAATACTATATATAATATGGACACACTACTAAAACCTTATCTCTGTTACAGCATCTGATCACCATGACATTTGGTACACACATTTATCAGAAGCATTTGTCATATAGCACCAACGTTAAATCACATTTTATACTCGGCCAATATTTTTGTTTATGTCAAAATACCTACAAAAGTAATGACATTTAAATCTCAGCTGTACTTTGCGTTTACTTTTTTTTTTTTTATCTATAGATATTATACACATTTTTAAAATTAGTTTATTGAATTGTTTTAATTTAATTTGATATATAAAATTGGACTCAAATGTGTTATTTTGAAAAATATAGTTTTTATTTCTATATTACAATGTTATGATGTTTACAAAACATATTATAACATTTCCTCACATAATAGTTGAGTGTCATGGTGCATTGCTCTCTAAATTCAAATTGTTATATTTTAATAGTTTTTGTCTTTCTGTTGTGTTCACCGTCTGAACTTGTTCTGTCTTTTTTTCAGTCGTGTGTGAGGCGTGTGAACTGTGTGGTTGGTTTCACCTCCTGGCTCAGTTTGAGTCATCATTGCCAAATGGGCTCCTGGAGATACCCTACGAAACCAGAGCGAATTACCAAAGAGGAGGCTCTAAATACTGTAATTTGCCAGGTGTTTAAACGTATATTTGTACATGATACAGTCACGATACAGAGTATTTAGATTCAAAGATGGTAGCTGAGTTTGATGATGGGTGGCTTCCAAGCCCCTGGCTGTTTCTGTGATCTCTCTGATATGTAGTTCCATTTCATTTAATGGGAAGTGACCTATGTTCTTCTTGAGAAATGTGTGTTATTAGTCAGCAGCACAGCCTGATATTTCCTTTGTAAGATCACAACATATTGCCGAACTGTCTTTTTGTTTATGAGAACTGTCAACCAGTATTCAGAAGAAGTGTCAAACATGGTTTTTAGTGCCATTTGAGATGATCATTGTCACTGTTGATTGGAAACTCAAACCCCCGCCATCTTGTTGAAACCTGCTACCACCTGTTTCTGCTGTGAAGTGAAGAAAACACTGTAGAGACTTTTAAAGTAGACCAGCGGCTTTTATCCACAGGTACCCATTACAGCTTGCCCCTCAAATTCAAGCTTCCTCACCACAAAGCCTGACTTGTGATCCTGAGTTGTATTAAGACACAGATCAAAGAAGAAATATGCAAATGCAAAGCCTCAGAGTTTATTTAGGCAGCAGCAGTTTGACAAGAGATACCTGACCAGCTGGCCCTCACAGAAAATAGGTTTCTACTTCTTTTAAAGTTTGCTCAGCTTCCCCCTCTGCGGCATACCTCCCCGACAAGAATGTGATTGTGCTGCAGCTGAGGAGCCGTCCGACTTGTGGCGACAGGCACACACAGCCGATTGCATCACATCCGAGTTATCTGAGTGAGTCTGAGGGTGTGTTAGAAAGCCTTTTTTTTTCTCTTCCAGTGAACATGTTTAGTCAGATCAGGAAGTGTGATGCTGTGACAGTAGAGGAGGAAGCGGACTCACAATGGCACCATGTTTGCTTCTGGGACTGGAAGCATGAGAGGGCCGGGGCTGAAGACCCCTCTGCTGCTGCTGCTGCTGCTGCTGCTGGGCACAGGTATGACACCAGGATCCGGCTCTTTACTCTCCTGTCTCCCCCCTGCTCTCTCCTTTGGGCTTTACTCTACTTTCCTCGCTTTGTGACTGTGAGTGGAACTTCTGGACTGGAAGGAGTGTGAAACGTTTTGATAATGAATTCAAAACATTAGAAGAACTAAAAGTGAAAGTTGGCCCTATGTCACTTCAGTCCACTTTTTGTCTTAGCTTTGCCGTTTGTAGAAACTCAATCCCTACTCTATTTCAAATGAATCTCTTCTCAAAGTTTGATAAAGCTAAGATCAGCCAGGAAACCTTTTTTAAATCTGTACATATACACCTTAGTCTTGAAGAAACGGTAATTGGATTCCTCTTTTGGGTCAAATCGAGTACATTTTCTTGAACAAAAGGAACTTTTTCTCACAAAGTGAACTATTTGACTGCGTGACGAAGCTATGTCAGCAACACATTGCTCAACTTGTTGAATATCTCCTCCTACTCCTTGCTGTTCAGTAGATACTTTTGCAACAGTTTAAATTTGTGTAGTAAACTTTTGAAATCATACAGGCGGAAGTCTTGAGTTCCTGTGTGATGTGACACTTATTCAGATGTTATGTTAGCAAGTAAGCTGGTGAAACCCCTGCAGGAATAACTGTCTTCATTCACATGCGCTTTTCACTTCACTGAAATAAATGCAGCACATGTTTAACTACCTTTTCAGTGACAAGGCAGCGGCATAATATAAAGTGATGGGTTTCGTTGAATTTCAGTGTTTTGCCAAGAAGAGGATGATGCAGGCGTAGAAGAAGAAGAAGCAGACACAGACATAGAGCCTGAGGAGGAGCCCGGAGAAGTAGAACCAGGGGCTGAGGACCCAGGTGAGACATGAATAATGTAATACATTTGAAAATAATAATACATGATGTGCCCACAAGTAGACGCTTTGAGGTCTATTATTTTATTTTATTTTCCTTCTTATTTTCGGGTGTGCAGACAAAATAATTGAGATTCTAACATTTATTTTCATTTTGTTATTATTCTTTTTTTTCCTTCTCACACATGGTATTATATAGTTTGATATTTTCAGTGACATGGTCGCATAAACAGTCAAAAAATAATGAAACATACAATAATAGATACAATAATAAAAACAAAACAAATAAATAAGGCAGTGTGGCGCAGTGGATAGAGCCTTGATGTCGGGATCAGGGGGTCACAGGTTCAAACCCCACTGCAGTGGGCAAGACACTTCACCTCAAATTGCTCCTGTGGGGATTGTCCACAGTACTGAGTATGTAAGTTGCTTTGGATAAAAGCGTCCAACAAGTAACATGTAATAAATAAAACATTTATGAAGTCATAAAAAAGGGTTATATGTTGTTTAACACTTTGTCCAAAGAGCACGTTAAACATTTTTTAAAGAATAAATACGATAGGAAAAACAAGCCAGTTATGATGCAAACACAAAATCAATATCAAGCAAGAATTCATTTAGAAGCAAACACTTTAACCATGACTGCTTTTGTCCAGATCTCTTGAAAGTACTCAATTGTTATTAGTTTTGACAGGTTTTTTATTTTAAAAGATCTTTGTGCATTTGTTTGCTAGGTGTAGAAATAGAACGCAGACATGGTGGAAAGAGGGGTGCTAATGCAACAAAGACCTCGACCTGGAATCAATCTGGGGTTTTTACCTTTTATCCATAAAGCAAACAGTCACTGAACATTTAGGTACTTTTGCACTTTGTTCTAGGAAAAAGCAGCAGCACATTTTAACAACTACAACTAATTGTTTCTCATGACAAAAAACATTAAAGCAAAAAACATTAAACCAATATTACAAAAATAAAATACAACAATCTTGATAAAGAAAATAAGAAAATACAATGTTGTTATAAAGTGCAAGTGACCCATTATGAGAACACTATTCAGTTTGGATTCCACAGGAAATGAGGGTGCTACAGCACACAGGGATATCTTAAACATCAGTGTGCTTTTGACTTCGTGATTTCCTGTTTCAACTTTGTGCCTTAAGATCTGGAAAAAGCCAGGTCCATGATGAGAGACTTTACAGAAAGAGCAGCAAACTGTATTTGTTTTGGTTTGATTTTCTAGGTTTTGATGACTTAGTCCTCAGTCTTCAGATGTTTCGAGATCAATAACGTTTTTTCTAAGTTAGATTGTCATTTATTTGATAAAAGGAGCTTTTTGTCACTGATGGAAATTGTGATTGTAGAATATAAACTATTAACTCTCTTTCAGGCTTTAAGGGTGTCACAGGTCGAGTGGAAGTAGGCTGAGTCATTGGTTACTTGTAGGAGTGTTGACGAATAAAAAAACATTATTAGGATGTGCACAGATTATGTGGTCTGGATAGATATGAAAAACGTTTTATGCTAAAAGTATTTGCAGAAATGTTTCAGGCTGACCTTATTTCTATCTGGTCCTCTCACTGCATTCACAGTCTTTGTCAATAGAGTTGCCGCTTTTAATCAGATATATAGGAATGGCCGAATATAGGAATACATACTGTGTATCTGTAACGTAAATAGAAGTAAAGACACAGATGGTAGTTTTGTGTTTCGGTTGACTTTTGTACTCCTGTTTCTCTGGACGACACTATCGGCTCTTCATTTTGGTCAAACATGCTGTCGAGGTTCGCCTTCTTTCGTATATTTGAACCTGGTCTTGCCTGTACAAAATGAAAGGAAAGGCTTCCTACAAGTCAGAACGTGTTGAAACCCTTTGTTGAGCTGGGAGCTGTTCCAGCAGCTTACTGTAATGGCTGTGGTTTTCAAATCAGTGCAAAGGCTCTGACGTCTTTAAACTGTAATGAACCCTGTGGCTATAATAATCGGGAATGAATACAGCTGTCCCCTTTGATAATGGCCACTGTCAACAATAAAACGTATGTCTGAATTGAGGTGTTAAAGGTCACATATTATGCAAAACCCACTTTTTCATGTCTTTTATACATAAATGTGTCCCCTAAAAGATTTAGAAAGTTTAGGGAAAAAAGATTCTTTCTCTATTTGTCCTGATCCATTTATATAAAAACCTGAATTAGCTGATCAGATTTTGGCCACTTTGTGATGTCACAATGTTTTTGGGATTGTGTAACCCCCACCTTATCACCTGAATCTCCTCCTAGAGCACCATTGTGTTTTTTTAAACCAAACATCTCTCAGAGGCAGAGGCATGTTTTGTATATATCTGAGACCTATAACATATTGTTGAAAAAGAGTATGATCGGGGACCTTTTAAAACACACATGTAAATAAGAAGTCTTACTCTACGAATGTCCTGATGATGAAGTGCCTCTCTCTCTCTGTCTGTAGATGTTTCTGAATCCACTCTACTTCCGGAACTCACCACAACATATTTCGATGGTAAGTCAGCTTTTATTCTGAGTGGTGCTGTTTCTGAGGAAAAGCCCAAAATCTCAACCTACCCTCAGGAAAGGTTTTGAACATACTACAGAGCACCACGTCCTACAATGCTCATGCTTTACTTGATTATTTTTCTTACCTTTAAATGTATTTGATCTTTTTTTTGGGGAGAATATATGATAATGGATTTTTTATTAAATTAATGTCTTTATAATAAACACGAATTAAAAGAAACACAAAAAACCATGAAAAGCAGCATTTCTTGAATTAATGCGATTCTGTGTCACATTGTGGGACATTGTCGTAGAGAGAAGTAAAACATGAGTTAGTACTCACTGAAGTTTCAGAAAAATCATCCAACTTTCCTCTGCTGTTGCTTCCAGTTGAAACTACCATTGGAGAAGAGCAGGATGGCTCAGGACGTTATAACTCCGAGCCCTATGATGGTATGTCAGACCAACCTTGGCCTCACATACCTGCACATTTACAGACCTACTGTAAATGTAACAACCATTTACTCCTTGTATTAATCCTTTAATGACAGAAAATTGCAGCAGAACACATTTATTAAAGATTACGCATCGTATAAAAAATGCCCAAATAAAGCCAGAAGCTATTAAAATCTTTAATCCCTGGTCAAGGTTATACAAAGGACTGCAATCAACTAAAACAAAAAAAGTGCAAGTTGGAAAAGGTAAGGAAAAGATGGACGACTGTTTATACTTTTCAACAGATGAGTCAAACACCACGGATACGACCGACCCAGAGCCGGATGAGGGTCTGGGTCTGCTCATCATCCTGATCCCTGTGGTGCTGGTGGTCCTCATCATCGCCATCATCGTTTTCTGCATCTTCATCAACCGCAGGTGGAAACAAAATCAGATGGATCAAGGTATGTCTATCACGAGAGGGAACACGTACTATATAACATGTGCGATATTATTATTAATAATGTTCGATAAATAACGTGCAATTACGTAACTACCACTACGTTTTTTGCACTACTAAATACTGTTAATATTTACATTAATTATGTGACCGTCTATGTTTCCTGTTGTTATTGAATTGCTCTTTTTACTGCACTGTTAGTGTACCGTGTTATTATTATTGTGCTGCTGTGTTTATTGTGTTTTTGTAACTCTGGCACAACAATTTCCTTCGGGATGAATAAAGTCTTATCTTATCTTACCCCTGGACAATTAGGATTATTTTGCTTTTATTTGCAGACATTTCTAATAGGGTCAATGTATTTATTTCTGTTCAGAAGTTTAAACAGTTTTCTATAAAATAATAGTGGCATCTGTCTATATAAATAAATAAATACATTTAAGTTTTCCGCACTCTCGCGGGAATATCTCCGCAATTGAGCGAGCTTAAGTTTCAATTGCATGATATAGCCCAGCGCAACACCTTCATCACATGTTGCCACTTGTTAGGTGGTCCGCGAGTGTTTTTTTATTGGTTAAGTGGTCCTTGGTATGAAAAGGTTTGAGAAACACTGGTCTACAGTGAATATGTGTACCATAATGTAAATATTCCTCTACTGTCATGAAACCCTTTTAATTAAAGTGTTTCAGTCTTAAAACTTATACACAAATATATGTTTCTGGATAATTTGAGCGTTAAATAGGAAAGTATATTTCCTATAATATTGAGGAACTGACCTTATTCGTGTTAAAAACAACTCGGAAACGTATCAACACTTGTTATTATATATATGACTACTAAATGACTCAACCTTTTAAGCCTTGGATCTTTTAAGTTAAAGATGTGTTTGAATACTGTAATGCCTCAGTGGCCCAATATGTTATCCTTGTTTTATTTGGTGGTCTTTTTATTACAATTGATCTTCTTTAACTGTGTTTATGTACGCACCAAATATACCAAGGCAAGTTCCTCGTATATATAAACCTGTTTAGCAATAAACCTGTTTCTGATTCTGTTAAAGAGCCATGTTTTTATTCTCATAGAGCTGAGGAAAGAGGATCTATATTTGGACGGGTCCAGTACAGAGAAGGTTCCTATGTAAGTATGGATACTTTTACTTGTTCTCTAGTGCTGATCATTTGAAGAACTCTTATTAAACTCTTCAAGGTTTATTTATTATGTTTACAACCATGTTCACAAGAGGTTAAGTTTTCAATATGCATACAAGTGTGAGTAATTTGTAGTTATTATAAACACAAGTCGACTACAGATACCGACAGCTGGTGTCAGAAACATTGAAGTTCATTTGCTCACCTTGGTTTTTTGTGTGGATTATTTGATTGTGTTGAAACTGTGTACCTTCCAGGCCCATGTTTGAGGAAGACGTGCCCTCTGTGCTCGAGCTAGAAATGGAAGAGTTAGACAATTGGATGAGGAAGGATGGTGAGTATCTTTTTAACATGTAGCTGTAGCGTATACATAATGTACTCAGAGGTGGGAAGTAGTGGAGTACAAATACTTCGTTACTGTACTTAAGTAGATTTTCCTGGTATCAGTACTTTACTCCACCACTTGTTTTTCTGACGACTTTTTACTTTTACTTCTTACATTTTTAACACAAATACCTGTAGTTTCTACTTCTTACATTTTGAAAACAGGCTGGTTACTTTAGTTTTAATCTGTGTTTGGTGGCGTGATCATTATTATTTAGAGCCATTGCGTGCCTGTTGATTTGAAAACGATCCGTGTATCCATCATTTCCTGGTCTTCTCTAAAGAAGAGGGACCAATGAAAACGTTGTCATTTTGCCGTTGCTCAGCATCGAAACATTCATTAGCTAACAATGACATTATTGTTCTATTAACATAAAAAGAGGTCAGGTACTCTTTAAAACAGCTGGTAGTTATGGGTACTTTTTACTTAAGTACATTTTGAAGCCCATACTTCTTCACTTTTACTTGAGTAAAGAAGTTTAGTCGGTACTTCTACTTTTACCAGAGTGTTTTTAAACACGAGTATCTGTACTTCTACTTGAGTAAAGGATGTGTGTATTTTTGCATCTCCGTATGTGTATGTACGTATAGACACGTACTGTATGTGCTTTATTTCCTAAAACTTCAGTTATTTCGCAGAATACAATTAATAATATAAAATATACTCATGAAATAAATTCAGATTTGTTGCCGGATTAAAGTGATGTCCCCATCAATAATTGATATTATAGAATATTATTATTAGGGCTGTCAAACGATTACAATTTTTAATCAGATTAACCACAGCTTAAAAATTAATTAATTATAATTAATCACCATTCGAACTATGTCCAAAATATGCCATTTCTTTATGTATATTGTTGTGGGAATGGAAAGATAAATGAAAGACGGCGGATATATCCATTTAACATAC